GGGGGGGCGGGGGCTGCCGCATCCCCTTGACCAGCGCTCAAATGTCGGTAGCCTGCTGTGGGACCCCATCCCTGCGGTGCAGGCAGGTTGCAGGCAGCACGGGGCTGCCACCGGCGGCAAAGCGCTGAGCTTTGCCAGTCCTGTGCCCCGGCTCACGCACACAGGGACTCCTGCCCCTGTTTTCACCCCAAAATCTGCCCTTTTGCAGCATGTGTGTGGCTGGTGCGGGCCACACGGTGATTTCCTGAGGGAAGTAAAAGAGGAGGAGATCTTTTTCTGGGTGCTTTGTCACTCTTCTCCAGGCCCGGGGCTGCATTTGGAGCCAGCCAGGGTGCAGGGAGCAGGAGGGGTGCAAGGAGTCACGGGGCTCACGGTGCCAGCCCATCCCCCCGGGGTGCAGCAGGGCACGATGGGCTGACACCATCATCAGCCCCAAAATACATCCCTGAGTGTGAACGCGCGCGTGTGTGTGTATATCCATCCGAGTGATGTCAGTCAGATTGCTATCGCGTTGACTCACCACAACAGCTCACTTTGGCAACAACAGCGGCACAGGGCAGGGAGAAAAGGCGAGTCCGGAGGCAGGCGAGCCCCGACCGCGCCGCCTTGCCCATGCGGGGGTCACACCCCTGGCCGCAGGGCTCACAGGGCTAACAGGGAGAAGCAGCAAAGCCCAGGGCACGGGAAGGGTTTCCTTGGCTGGCAGCAGCTCAGCTTTGCTTTCCCACCCCAAAGGAGCCCTGTGCATCCCAAACTCCAGCGGGAAAGCTGGGGCAAGCACCCTGCTCCCTCCTGCTCGGCGCTCGGCAGCGGCGGCGGCTCCTTTTACGGGCAAGGCTTGCGGCTGACGCGGGCTGCGGCACGGTGATGATTTACTCCCTCTTTGCAGAAGCCGGGGCAGCACAAGCGGTGGGTGACATCCCATCAAACACATCTGCCGGGGAGATTAAACAGAGCGCCCACAGGGGCCAGACTGGCCAGGAGGCTGCTTTAAATATCCCAGGCACATTCCCGGGCTCTACAGTAATAACGTAGGCTTTGCCGAGCCCCACGCCGGGGCTGCTGGCTCGGCATCGGTGGTTCCCCAGGCACTGGGGGTCCTGTGCGGGCTTCCCAAGGGTCAATGTCTGCCAGGAATGGGGTGTGCGGTGAGCCGCCCCAGCCCCCCAGCTCCTAAACCTTTCCTTCCCTCCTGCAGGCTGCCCTACGAGGTGGACCCCATCACGGTCTTCGCCTCCTTGTCACCGGAGGGGCTGCTGATCATCGAGGCACCCCAGATCCCCCCC